TCTTGTGCGCATGCCCGGTTGAGTAAATTTACTTCCGGTAGCCGTCCTAGCTCGTCCTGTCCTGGTATCTTAAGGTGCCTATTGCTTGTAACAGGACAGTGAGGAAAGGCTAAGTATTTACTCTCTCTAGATGGTATGACTGTGAACACCACTTCCTGTCAGTTCCAACTGCAGAACCACACTAAAACTAGCAAAACAGGCAAAATGTGTAAGCCCCTGGTAATCAAGAAGTACATAAGTGATCCCACACTTTGCCCACTATCCACATTAAAAGAATACATCCAGAAAACAAAGCCTCTGCAGAACAGTGAGAAACAGCTATTTATTAGCTGCATACAACCACACAAAGCAGTGTCCCATGACACAATCTGGAGGTGGACCAAGGATGTTTTTAAACTCTCTGGTATTGACATAACCACCTTCACTGCACCTAGTACTAGAGCAGCAACAGCCTCTAAGGCAAATGCCAAGGATGTGCCACTTGACATGATCCTAAGTACCATTGGGTGGGCATCTGCACAGACATTTAGCAAGTTTTATAACAAACCAGTGGAGTGGAGGTTACAAGAGGGACAGCTGTGTGACATTTAAACGAATGAATAAATGCATAAATAAATAAATAGATAAATAAATAACTAAATAAACAGACTATAAAGGAAATATGTAAAAAGAAAAATGGCCAAATACATTAAATAAAATGACTACACATATTCCTCCTCTAAAAAAGGTCAAAGTTGCAGGTGAAAACTTGTTTACATAATGTATCATAATGCTGTTGTTTCACAGAAGGGCCAACATCTTGTTGTTTCTTTCGTCTTGTAATTTCCTCTGCTGTGTTAATTTCCCTTATTTGAGAGGAAAAAGAATTAGAGCACGGAAGTGACCAGAGAAACGGCATAAGCAAAGTGACAAAGTGCTTGTGAAAAATAAACAAAAGGTGCTTGCCTTCTTTGTCATTCTAGAGAAAGAAGGTGGGCGGCAAATGCTGAATCGCTTCGATAGCCGCAAAAAAGGTAGCTTTCTTTGCCCTCAAGTCATTTTGCAAAGAAACCATTAACTGCCACGTCCAGCTGTAGCTTATATTAATAATATGGGGGGCTCAAAATCCCCAAAATTGAATTCCTTCACCCAATAAATTTGGGACTGGTGTATTCAGCAGCAGCTGTGGGTTTCAGCTACACACATTGCAGGGAAATTAAATGTTAGTGCAGACTCCAAATCTCGTAAAGTTCAGGACAAACATGAATGGATGCTGAACAAGGAAGTTTGATTGGCACATAGTCCAACGTATGGTAAGTTTTGACTTGCTCAATGGCTCACTCAACATGAATGCGAAACTTGGCCATGCATCGAGTTTCCGCAAGTTCATCTTCAAATTGACCTTTCCCTTTTAAGAAAGTGGGAATGTTCAACTTCACACCCATAGATGCAAGATCATCTGCCACTGGCACATCAACCTTAGCCCAGTCCTTGCTAAGTATGCCAGATTTCACTGTCAGATCCCTGTCTGAAATTGACCTACCTTCTAAAGTGGAGACAAAGTTTATGGCACCGTCACCACTGATTCCAATATAAATTTCAGTAGCATCAGTGATGTACCTTAAAGTAGGACAAGACTCCCTCACCTTTTCAGGTGAGTTTGCCAATGACTACTCACGTATTTGCAAGATTTCTATTTCTTTAAAGGGGTGAAACATGGCATTAACCGAGGTGGTGATAATTCTTGACACGTGCGATTGAGAGAGCTCAAAACAAACAGCTAAATCTTGTTCAAGCATTCCAACATGCAGCCTAGTCGACACCAGAAGTAGCTGATCTTCAACAGCCAGTTTCTTTGAGGGCCCAGGTTTGAACCCCCTAAATCTTCACTGTTGGAATTGGAAGCATTTGATGATCCCCAGTGGGTCAGATTACTTATTCCATCACCCAAGAATTCCAAAAGGCAACAAAACTGTTCTTCAGTAAAACCAGTGTAAAACTTGAAAACCTCTGCGTCTTGTCACAAATTTTTCACAGAGAATGTCTTAGCTTCTAAGGCAGCTTCGGCTGTTTTCCTTCTGACAGTTTCTCACTCCAGGGATAGCTCCAATTCTTTGATTTTCCCTCTCAACTGTACTACTTTGGACTCCTTGATCTCGAGCTTTGTGTTGTCATTTTTGATGCCATCACATTCTGTCAAATCATCCAATGGCGTGTTTATGTATGAAATCGGCTATTTTTGCTTGGCCGATTTTCGCTCTGCTGGAAGCTTGCTCTGTGTTTTTTCTTGCACAAAGCAAAACTTTGTGGGAATAGACCCTAGTTTTAAGTTGACATGTGAAGGACCCAGGCTTCTCTTAGAGCAGTCAGCTTCAAAGTGGTCACCACATAGCTTCATAGCTTCACTAACTGGCGTGTTTGTTGAATTTTTGTGAGCCATTTGGAAAGCAGTTCTTTGTTCTCCGGTGGTAAACAATGCAGGACTTTTTGACTTCTATGTCTGAAGAGTTTGTACAGCCAAAAGCAATACACCATTGTGGAATTTCAAACAAAAAGTGAAGAAGCTGACAAGAGCAACTCAGTATTCTCTCTAAACGTCAACAAACCACGCAAAGCGATCACCACCAAGCCTCGGTTTGATGTTATGAGAAATTTGTGTGATGTCTTTGCGGATAAGTACTAATCCTAGATAGTAACAGATAAGAAGATGACGAGTCACAAATCAATAATAGCAAACATTCCAAAAATCACTGCAGTGTGACAATACTTCCAGTCAAACTTCTCAGTAAAGACACAATAAAATCATCAATGATACCAAGGAGATACACTTACTGGTAACTGTTCTAATGCAATAAATGATAATATTCTAAAATCTTGAAAGCTATTAAATTGCATTATGCAATTAGAACATGCTTGTGTGAGTGCCACTGGGGGCAATGTGGGAATTTGCCAGGGAGGAAAGGACTTTTAAAATTGCCAAAGATTGTTATAGGAGGCTGCTAAATAGAGAGGGTGGTAAAGGGGGGGGGGGG